TATGCATACAGAGCTGGGGTACAGGCCAGAGGTGCAGGGGTGGTGAGAGGATTCACCAGAGACAGAGCAGGGAGCAGAACAGACTGACGAAGTACACTGCTGAGGGGAGCAGCGGACGGGTCAGGAGAGGTCTGCCTCGCCATGTGGATCTCCTCCAGGATGGGTGGGGGTCGAACTTATGCTCAAGTGGCTTTAGCTTCTTAGTGCAGTGCTTTAACCTGCTGTGCCACCAGGGAGGGCCCAAGTAAGACTTTCTTTTAAAAAAGTGAGAAATTTATTCGGAAACTTTTATTTGGTACACTATATAAAAAATATTTTAGAAAAGGAAAAGACGGGTCCTCCCTGATGGTACAACAGGTTAAAACAGTACTATGAAGCTATGGCAGCCACCACAGGACACTGAGTTCAGTAACCCGCAAGGAGGGACCCACATGGTTTGCACCGACCTCTGTTGACCCACCTGCTGCTCCCCTCAGCAGTGTGTTTTAGTAGACCTGCCTGTTCTGCTCCCCACTCTGTCTCTAGTGAATCCTCTCACTCCCCACACCTCTGGCCTGTACCCCAGTTCTTTATGAATAAATAAATAAATCTTAAAGAAAAAAAAGGCAAAGAAACTCGTGTCACCTGATTTTATTTCTGTGTTTGAACCTATTTGGCTTTTCAGTAATTTTTTTTTCCTTACGTTTTACAAATACATAGAGATTTTATAGTCAGGTGCACTGGAAAAAAAGACCCAAATCCATCCTTTAGTTAATCACATTTTCCCAACCAAAATCACGATGCACGTTCTAACAAGTAAAGTGTGCTGCTGTACACGCTTGGGCTGGGATCCCCTGACCCAGCAGTGGATCTTTTTCATCTAAATTATAGAATGTTTGCATGATGTGTGGCATTTGGAAGGGACCTGTAAATGACTGACTGAGTGTATCAGTGAGAAAGTACTTGGAAGAAAAAGAGCAGAAATCAAACAAACTAAAGATAAATCAAAACTCAACACTCATCATACCTATTTATCTTGTTTTTGTTTTAGCCATGATTTTAATCTAACTGGTAACTAGCTTTTATTTTAATCATTTACTGCAAATTAGCATAAGTGAGTCTAAATCTAATATCATGTGGCTACAGTAGTATTGTTATATGAGATAAAATACTAAGAATATTTAAAAGTGGATTATTTGCAGAATGTGGGGGTAATTCTTAAATTGTCATCTCCATTTGCATAATTATTTTAGAGGTTTCTAATGTTACCTTTTGACGGGGTCATTTTTTTTGTAGTTTTAATAAAAGCATAGGTTTTATTTGTTTTTCAATTGATTAATTCGTTTATATTTTTAGTATTTAAGTACCATTGGTTTATACCCTTGTTAGTGTTTCAAGAACACAGACCGTTACAGAAGGCCTCTCAGATTTGTGGCCACATTACAACATTAAAAGCTGTATTAGCCATGAAACACCTCCATTTACTCTTAATATTCCCCTGTTATTTTTAACCTATTTCCAAGGTGCCATGGCCCACACTTCATAGAATTTGAATTCATTGTCCTTTAGGCAGCTTAGATAAACTAGGAAATAGCATGGCCTCTTCCTTGAGCTGACATCACTATTGTGTTTGCTGTGTCTTTCATTAAAATGTTTATTAGTTAATTTGATCAGGTCACTTTCTTAAAGCATTTTCCTTATGAGTTTGAAAATGACTCTGAACCCTGCTGGTTTTCTTCTTACTATGTATAGTGAATTCAGTCTGGGCTCTCTCTAATCTTCTAGTAACCTATTTTTTAATTCCTCTACCCAAATTACATCAAATTAGTAAGGAGACAAGAAAATAAAACACAGCAGTTATGAGGGCAAGTTATAATAATTATGTTTATTCTTGGTTCTGTTATTAATGTGTAACCTTGGATATCATCTTTTGGCTCTGATTTTATAACCTTCAGAGTTAATTTTTTAAAATAAATAAAAAATAGTTTATTTTTACATTATTTTGTGCATTTTCCCATCTCAGTTGTAATCCCCCTGGGTTTCCCATCACCAGATCATCTATGTGCCAACATCATAGTCCTGACTCGGTCATTTTTTAATGTGCATTTGGTTGTTTTGATGGATGGCTTTGAGGAAAGAATAGCTAAATATAGTTTAGCCTTACTAGAGTTTCTTCCATTCACTTATTGGGTTCTCATGTTGTTTTCTTAGTAAAAAAATGAACCAGATCTTTGCTCTTTTTATCTTTTGACACTGATCTTTAGTTCTTACTATTTTATTCAATATGAAAGTTTACACTTTTTGCTTTATTGTTTATTGAACATCATTGTGTGACTGAAAATTCTAAGTAGTAATGATGTTCATTTTTGTGATTTTATTTAAAGCCCCATCATGTGATTATTTTGTAGACATTTGGTCCTTTACTTAGAAACATAAAGCACACAGGAACAATTCACATGTTTTCCAAAGTATTATGTGTATAGAAGCTTAGCCATGTGATCAAGGACAGACCTCCAGCTTTGCAATACAATTTCAAAATTTGCATCTTGTTTGGGAGAACATAAGCAAATCTAAATTTAATATCATGTGGCTACAGTAGTCCCAAGAATGTTATCTATTCTTTTTAACAGATAACTTATTTTTATGATAATTCTAGAATGTGGTCAGAGAGCCTGATAATACAGAAATATAGCACTGTGTTCTGAAAGGTTTTCTTTCAAGGCAACCTTTGTACCTAGGTGAGTAAGCATGCTAACTTGGAAATACTTAATGAGAAGGAACTGTTTTTAAAAAAAAATAAAGCTTTGTTTTTCTTCCTTTAAATAATTATCCCAATAATTTCAAATATATTTCCTTGGAAATAAATTATAGAAATTTTCAAGCCCTAAATATTTTATCTTTAATTAGTAGGATAAAAACCTAGGACACAGTGGGGTTATCATTAATGGAACAATATTAGAAAGGTGCCTTAAGCTCATCAATATACTTTATATTTTGCTTTATATGTATAGGGATATGTATGTTACTTTATACTATCTTGTTTATCTATAAAAATGATACTATATATCATTTTGACATAGAGATAGCTTATAATATTAAAGTCAGTAAACAAATAATACTTGAGAACTCTGCTTACCCTTCATCTCTATCATAGAAGTTGAAAATGAATAGTTTCATATGAAAACTAGTATCTCTTCTCTGCTGACTTGATCAGACAACTTTATCAGGCTCATAAGACACCTGTTCATTAATTGACTTTCTAATTGTGCACATTGCATCACAATTGCATATAGTTTCTCAATATACAAAGATAAATGAAACTTAGTTTTGGCTTTTACAAGCTTGGTTAAGAAAGAGCAAATCATTATATAAATGAATAAATAGCATTTCACAATAACAGTCTATGAGTACCTGGAACTACTTGGGATATGCAAAAAGGCTTGCTTCAGAATGAAAGTTCAATTAGCTTTTGAATAACAGCTAGAAAGAAGATGGTGATATAAGGAGAGTACAGGTAAATGAAATGGTGTTTTGCAGAAGTTATAGACTGTCTGGTATATATATAGAGAGCAAAAGATGAGACTTCGTTTGGCTTCAAGTGGGAATATGATAGCAATAAAATAAGTGAAAATTATGACTTCCCTTACATTCCATGCAGTATGTTGCCATCATTAAAAATTGGCTCTGTACTTGCACTATGTGAGTCTCATTTCTGCTGATTGTGACCTCCTTGCCCTTGCCATCTTTTTAAGACTCAGTTTCCCCTCTGTAAAATGGAATAATGATGGAATTTTCACCAAAATATTTGTTAGAATTAAGGGACAATATCCTTTGTAAAGCACATAGCCCTACACATACTACTTTTTCAACAGTATAGCTGGTTTAACAGTTACTTAATGCTAGGGAGTTTAAGTTTTAAATCCTTTAACTGTCGGATCTGGCGGAACTTAAAATAATGATCAGGGAGGACAATAAAAGGCAGAAAAACTAAAGAAAAGTCTAATTTAATAATACTTTTAGAGGAAATAATCTTATTAAAGTATCTTATTTCACTTATCTTTCTGAATGTTTCATCCATAGGATATATATTGTTGTGTGTGTGTGTGTGTGTATATATATATATATATATATATATATAGTTATATATATATAGTTATATATAGATCAAATAATGCTCTCTTTTGAAGGATTTTTAACTAACACTAAGAAATGAACATAGTTAACTAATATCTTTATATTCATTGGTCTGCTTTGGAAAGCATAGTTCAAATTCAGCTATTATAAATCTTTTAATGTTTATATAATTTTTATTATATACTGTTGTAATAGGCCCAGAGTAGCTGTCCATTTGTGTCAGATATTCAGCCAGGTACACAGAGCATCTTTCTTGTCTCTGTATACTTATTCTTACGGTGACCTTTTTGATGAACTCAGTAAGTCAAATTGTCAGTAATTTTGATGCAGGAAATTAAAGATTCCTTCTACTTGTAATTGCTTTGCTTTATGAAATTGAAATTTGCATTATGGTGGTGTTTTGCTTATTTATTGGCTATAATTTGAATTTACATAACTAGGAAAAGATGAACAAGCTTTTATTTTTAAGCTAAAAAGTATAATACAGACAGTTATGTTGGGATAAGCATTTAACTTTGTATCTTCATTTGCCACAGCTGAACAGTTGTATTTTTAAAAATCTGATACTGTGCAGTGCAAGTGCTAACTAGTTCATCCTCCTCTTGTTAAGATGTTCTAAATGAGTAAATGGCAGATGATCTTAGAGAGACTCTCCTAATTGCTTGTGAATCGTTTGTTTACCAAAATGTAATAAGATACATACAGCCAGTCTTGATTATTCAGGAACTGGTTATCTAGTTTAGGGGTGAAATTAAATCTATATACCCTTAGCATTTTTTGTAGGTTAATCTATGCCTCTTTTTATTTGACAGATTTTATTTTGCTTACAAAACTAAGATATTTTCATTGCATATTCCCAATTTAATTCTTTAAAAAATTCCCTTTAGTACCTCAGGTTCTTCAAAGCTGTACAGCATTCATTGAGAGATATGGCATCGTGGATGGGATTTATCGTCTCTCTGGCGTTGCCTCCAATATCCAGAGACTACGGTAAGACCCAACATGGCATTTTCTTTTTCACTCCTGGTGACCAATTTTCAGAAAATCATTTTAAGTAACATAGAAATAGTGTGCATATTGTTTTCTGCATGTGTTTTTCTAAATGCCATTTCTTCATTGTAGTATCAGAAAACTATGTCCCTTAACCTCATCAATCTTATACTTTGTATTGTTAAAATTGGCAAAATACTGGATATCCAAACTGTTAAGTGTTAGCAGTTCTGTTTTGGATCTCTGTGTCAAACACTGCTCACTCCTATGCATTTCAGAGATTACTGTCCATTTCAGTATTAAAACTATGCCTTTAATTCCATGCAGAAAACACCTATCATATGACCAGACATCACGTTACTGCTGAAGTCCACATATAACTTATATGAAATATGGTTGTTTGAAGAAAACATTAACTAGGTTAGAGGGTAACATTTTGGGCCTTTGCATTCTGTTTTTCCTTAGAAAAATTATTTTGTTTTCTTTGTCTTCTATTTTGTTAGCCATGAATTTGACTCAGAACATGTTCCCGACCTGACAAAAGAACCATATGTTCAAGACATCCATTCTGTAGGTTCCCTCTGTAAGCTGTATTTCCGAGAACTCCCAAATCCTCTGCTCACTTACCAGCTTTATGAAAAATTTTCTGTGAGTACAGGTCACTTTTAAATAAAGTTCTGTTTGGAATTTTGCAGTAGTTTTCTTCAGCGCCTGTTAGATTGTTGTGGTCATGTAAGAAATAGTTTTATGACTATAATGTCTCCTTTAAAAATAAAGACTACAAAGCAGTTTTGCATAGTTTTTGCCATTTTCACATTTTCAATCTTTTAGTTTCTGTCTTTGAGCCATTAATCTTATCACCCTTGATATTGGTTACCATTAAGCTTTTTAAAGATTAACTTTTAATAGATTTCAATGTCCACTTCTGTGGAAACACTATTTACTTCTTTGACACTATGCTGTTTCCTTGTCATTCAGTATCAAAGAGTGAAGTAGTATCAGAGTAAGAACTATAATTTTAATTGAGCTTCCATTTTCACCAACAAAGCCAACTGGTTCCTTTTGTTTTATGATCTTTATAGGAAGCTGTTTCAGCAGCCACAGATGAAGAAAGGCTGATAAAAATCCACGATGTCATCCAGCAGCTCCCCCCTCCACACTACAGGTGAGTCATGTGTCATGAGGACCAGCCAAATCCACAAGCCAGTTCATGTGTATAAGTGGTGTTTTTCTTTGCATTTGTAGCTACTTAAACCTCCATTTTTTTATGCATTCATAACCGTTTGTTTTTGTAGCCCTTTGCCTGGCACAGTGTGTGGCATCTAGTAGGTACTTAATAAATAGTGAATGAATAAATAAATGAACAAGTGGATTGCTTACATGTTTTGTTGTTATTGTTTTGTGCTTGATACACTGAAAAATACTGCTCAGAGTAAACGGGAGTATGATGTTTTAGTAATATGCAAATTAACAGTGCTGATTTTTATTTCAAAATAACATTGCTCATAAATACTTTAAAAATCACCACTAGGCCCTCCCTGGTGGCGCAGCGGGTTAAAGCACAGCACTGAGAGGCTAGGGCCACTTCCGCATGAGTTCGATTCCCGCCTGCCCCGGAGGTGACCACATGGCGTGGCAGACCTCTCCTGGCCCGCCCGCTGCTCCCCTCGGCAGTGTACTTCGCCGATCTGACTGTTCTGCTCCCCACTCTGTCTCTGGTGAAGCCTCTCACCGCCCCTGAGCCTCTGGCCTGTACCCCAGTTCTATATGTACAAATAAATAAAATCTTTAAAAAAAAAAATCACCACTAAATTCAGCACTTAATACCAACATTTTTTTCAAATCCAGTTATATTCTTTACTTCTTCTTCTTTTTTTTTTTTAAAGATTTATTTATTTGTGCATATAGAACCTGGGATACAGGCCAGAGATGCAGGGGCAGTGAGAGATACAGAGTGGGGAGCAGAACAGGCAGATTGACAAAGGACACTGCTGAGGGGAGCCGCAGGCGGGTCAGGAGAGGTCTGCCGCGCCATGTGGGTCACCTCCAGGGCAGGCGAGGATTGAACTCATGTGGAAGTGGTTTTTGATTCTTAGTGTGGTGCTTTAACCCCGCCACCAGGGAGGGCCCTCCTGGGAATTTTTAAATATATCAAAGATACTATTTTTTTTAATAGTATAATAGTTTATTTTTACATCATTTTGTACATTTTTTTTCATCTCAATTGTAATCCCCGTGGGTTTCCCATCACCAACTCACTCTGTGCCATCACCATAGTCCCGTGCACTTCCCTCCCCACTCCGTTTTTGATTCTATTCCGCACTCTACCTATATCCTTTACTTCTTATTTACATTAGTTACCAAAATGCATGAAACCTTTTGTCATTTCTTAACCCTAATCTCTGATTTCTATTAATCTCGTAGCCTCTTATCTACCTAGAACTTTTGTATTTTCTAATCTGATGCCATCCCCAACTGTGCCTGTTCCATAAACCTTTTCAAGTTGCCTTCTCAAAAATCACAATTATCAGCAAAATTTATTTTGTCACAGCCTCATCCATGAATGATCCTTTCACCCTTTTTTTTTAACTTGAGGTAAAATTGGTCTATAACATGCATATGTTTCAGATGTATAGTTGTACAGCAAAATTTTTAATCAACATTTAAGTCACCAGTTTTTTTAGTCAATACTATAGCTGTAAAGCATAGTCAAGAAACAAAAAGTAACATTGATTCACTGTCCTATTATGTAGTCTTCTGGAAGAGTAACATGAGATTAGCAGGGTTTTAAGGATTCATTGAAGAGTGAAAAGTAAAAACCTTATTAAAGCAAGTTCGGAAAATGTAGATATTTATCCCTGAAAAAGAAGGCTGAGGAGACCAGTCTTATCAGTAGTTATTGAAGAATATCTCTAATTGGGGTATTCTTTATCTCTTTTAATTACCAGAAATGGAAACTTAGTGCAATATAAAGGATTTTGACTTTAATAGAATGAGTTTAAATCTCTAAATTTATACCACTTATGACCTCTCCGAGTGGCAGTCTCATATCTGTGATAAGAATACCAATCATATCTTCTTTACAGGATTTTTGTAATGATGAAATGAGTTCAAATGTTCATGAATGAGTTTGGCCCTTACTTTTCTGTTAACACAAAGCATAGCAGGTCAGATGATGAAGCCATGGCTCTTACCTTGGGAGTTTTAATTGAAAATGTGATCAGTATAACCTGCTGTTAAAAATGGTCACTGACGATGATTTAGGTGATAGAAGCATTTATATTTTATAATGTTACATAATTTTTTGTTGTCAATATGTTGTATTTCATTTTCCAGAACACTGGAGTTCCTAATGAGACACTTGTCTCTTCTGGCTGACTATTGTTCCATCACAAATATGCATGCAAAAAACCTAGCAATTGTTTGGGCTCCAAACTTGCTAAGGTGAGTTGTAATTGACTTAAGACCTCAGACTTGGCCATCTTAAGTAAAAGTCTAATACATCAGTTTTTTTAAATGGAAAATTTATCTGTAGTCTTTATGAACAGCTCCATAAGTAAGGTTACTGGGGCTTAGGCAAGGAACTATAAAAATACAATTTCTACCTCTGCTTTGTTTATAATTTGCACATTAAAAAATAAATTCTTTGGGGCTTTCTCATGGTATTGTTGTTTTGTTCCCAACAGATCAAAACAGATAGAATCTGCCTGCTTCAGTGGCACAGCAGCTTTCATGGAAGTGAGAATTCAGTCTGTGGTTGTTGAATTCATCCTCAATCATGTAGATGTCCTCTTCAGTACAAAAATCAGTGCCGTCATTCAGGAAGGAGCAGGTATGCCTCTGATGGATGTTGTGTAGTACCAGGAACATGAATTCCAACTCGTAAAGGGAGACTGCATTTCTTATCTCAGTCTTTCCCCCAAAAGCAGCTAAATTTGTCTCTTTCCCAAGATGAACAATGTAACAGTTCTTTTGTGTGTACACAGTGGAAGCTATATACTGGACCTGTTGTGATCTAAATTCATGACATAGAGAATACAATGTGTCTCCTTTGTGATGTGGGTAAAGGTACAATATGGAGTAGCACAGGAAAATTCCCCCTGAAGCTAAAAATATCTGAGTGATACTAAGCATTTCCTTTCTTCTTTTAAGATAGAAAAATAAATTATTTAAAGGATTTCTAAAATAACATGCATAGATACACACACATACTTGTTAACAATCTATATGTCACCTCCTGTTCAGTATAAAGCACTATTATTTCTATTTATGTAATTTCTATCATTGTTGTTCATTTTTGTACAGTAATTAGTTTCTCCCTTTGGGAATACTCTCTAGTTCTTCCACCACCCTGTCACTCATGACCTATCACTGTGCTCCCATGTGCTCTTCCCTCTCCCGTTTTGAACCTTTCCCACTTCCTTTCCCATCCCTTGCCTTATGCCTCAGATCTGTGGTAATCTTGCAAGAAGTTGTGTCTTTCTCTTGACCTTTTGTTTGGTTTTTCTATATTCTGCATATAGTGAAACCATACAGTATTTACCTTTTTCCTTCTGACTGACTTAGCATCATCCCTTCCAGCTCCATCCACGTTGCAGCAGATGACATGAGCTTATCTTTTTTGATAGCTGAGTGGTATTCCGTTGTGTGTATGTACCACAACTTTTGGATCCATTTGTCTGTTTTGGGGCATTTGGGTTGTTTCCATACCTAGCTACTGTAAATAGTGTTATAATAAACACAGAAGTGCAGTTTTCCTTTCGAATTAGTGTTTTTGTGTCCTTTGGGTAGCCTTTGGAGTGGAATCACTGGATCATATGGCATATCCACTTTTAGTGTTTTGAAACATCTCCACACAGCTTTCCATAGAGACTAGACCAGTTTACATTCCCACCAACAGTGTAAAAGGGCCCATTTTCCTCCACATCTTTGCTAGCATTTGTGTTTCCAGTTTTTTTCTGTGACCATTCTCACTGGTATGAGGTGGTACCTCATTATGGTTTTGATTTGCACTAGAGATGTTGAACATTTTTTCATAAGACTTTTGGCTATTTGTGTTTCTTCTTAAAGAAGTATCTTTTTAGTTCTTCTGCCCATTTTTTTGACTGAGTTGTTTGCTTTATTTTTGTTGAATTGTGTACTTTCTTTATAGATGCTTGATATCAGTTCCTTATCTCCTATTCAGTAGGATGTCTATTTGTTTACATTACTATCTCTTGTGCTTTTCGAAAATATTTAGTCTAATGTAGTCCCAGCTGTATGTCTTCTCTTATGTTTTCCTAGCTTCTGGAGATGAATCCTGAAAAAAATGCTTCTGAGGGTTATGTCATGTTTTATCTATGTTCTCTTTTATATATTTTATGATGTCAGGTGTTGGCATTCAAATCTTTAATCCAATTTGAATTGATTGTTGTGTGTGGTGTGAGATAGCGTGCTAGCTTTTCTTTTCCACATGGCAGTACAGTTCTCTCTTTGGTCCTTGTCCTACAGTAGTTAACAATAAAATACGGCTTTAGTGTGAGCTTTTAAGTCTGTTGGTTTATGTGCTTGTTTTTGTTGCAGTACCGTGCTATTTTTATTATAATAGTAAAGTACTATTATTTTTGCCACTTAAGAACTTAGTGAAAATTTTTAAAACAATCCATAGACAGGTAGATAGATAAACAGTTTGATAAATGCTCACTCACACATATTTGTAATTTGTATTTATATTTTTCCTGCATTCCAAAAAGTTTGACTCTTCTTGTTTTTCTTAAGTTTCTCTAGCAAGACCCAAGTCCCTGCTGGTTCCCTCTCCATCTGCGAAGCTGCTGACATTGGAGGAAGCCCAGGCACGAACACAAGCTCAGGTCAATTCTCCACTCATGACTGAAAATAAATACATAGAAGTAGGAGAAGGACCTGCTGCACTTCAGGGAAAATTTCATACCATAATTGAGTTCCCACTTGAAAGGTAAAATTCATTAAATCCTCCTTAACAGTGTGACTCTCATGTTATGTGTCATTTTCTTTTACTTTTGAGTTTTCATATTCTATACTGACTCTGGCTGGGCCAGTCCCAAAAAAACCTATTTATTTGATTATAGATGATACTTCACAAGGGATGATAAAAATGATTCTCAAAAAAGGATATAAGAGCATGTCCTTTTAAAGAAGAACAAACTCAATTGTAGATGGACAATTGTTAGGAAAAATGATACATGTCCACAATAGAGGGTGATTTTTCTCTCCGAGAAACATTGTTTTGAAATTTCTTTAGAAATAAACAGTCTTGGAACAACTTGTTCAGTAAGTAATGAGTGGATAATGACTTGTCTGACATGGACTCCACGTTAAGTCTAGAATAGACCAGGGTGCCTCAGTGTGACCTTCCAGACAGCAGCAGCAGCATCACAGAAGTTGTTAGAGGTGCTCATAGCCATTCATGGCCATCTTTACATAGATTCTTTTCTCCTTCATAGGAGGAGGCCTCAAAATAAAATGAAGAAATCTCCTGTGGGCAGCTGGCGTTCCTTTTTCAACCTGGGGAAATCATCGTCTGTTTCTAAACGGAAGTTGCAGCGTAATGAAAGTGAACCCTCAGAGATGAAAGCCATGGCTCTGAAAGGTTAGTGTGGCTTCTCTAGGGCAGGTTCACTGGGCCTGTGCCACGGCCATGCACACATGGTTGGCTGGTCTGGCTCGATTCTGGCCACGTGCTCCTATGTTGTCACATGCTTCAGTATGCTGTGTGTTGCACGTGCGGGTTGTCTTCTTTTACCCGTTCTTTATCCCTATATATATGTTATCTGTGAATGTGTGGATATACCCAATTTCTTACTGAAACTTAAATAGGTTATGCACAGTGATAATGTGGTTAGACATTCACAAAATATTTGTAACATGGTATATACTGCTGTGGTATTTACATTTACTAATCTGTATTTTTATAGATTAAAAAAAGGACAGAACCATGTTTCAAACATGCCTTTCCAGTTTACAGTTCTTAAAGAACCCGTCTTGGTACTAGATAACTCATTAATGACAATATCTTATTGGCACAAATGAATGCATTTTTAAAAGCTTTTTTAAAAATAGTTTAAAATCCATGTTCTATTGATACTAACAGTTTCTTAGTCTAGGAAAGATAATGCTTTCTTCTCAGGTAAAGTTAAATATACAGTGTTCAGTTTGTTTGATTCATCATTCAGTTTGCAGTCATATACTAAGTATGTGCTGTATTTTTTGATAGCAGCCTCTCCCCCTGCCTTAGAATCTGCTTGAGAAATTACATGTGTAAGAAAACAAGTTCAAACATAATCATAGCTATTGAAGTAGAGGCTTGTGTAGGTACTTATGGTAGGAGTTGTCAATTCACATGAGGAGAGAGGATGTCTCTTGGCCAGAAAATAACAACCCTGTATTTGGATTTCGAACCCTAGTAAGGATTCATCTGTTGGACAAGGAACTGAGAATGAGGAAATTGGAGCAAAGTGTGAGAGTGTATGTGAAGCAGGTAACCATAACGAATTTGTGGTTGGGTGGTGTGGTACAAAAAGAGGTTCAGACCAATAGGGAAATTGTTTGCTTTCCAAAGAGTTTTGTCTTTTCTTGCATTCTGGAATAGTTACTGAATGGCTTCAATGTGTAACATGATCAGCTTTGGATTTAAGGAAGTTGAGTGTAACAGCAGTGCAGGGACTGTATGGGAAGAGAATAATAAATTCAGAGGCAGTTATAGTTGTACAGAAAAAACTGAGGGTCTGGAATCAGCCATGGAAGTGGAATGATAAGAATGATCTTTAGGGAGCAGAATCTACAGGACTGGGTTTCCAAGTGATGGTGAAAATGAGGGGGGGGAGGGTTTTCAGAGTTTGATGGAATGCAATTATTCCTATAGGGAGTAGCAGCTTTGAGAAGAAAAGTAATATACTTATATTGCCATTAGTGAGGTGGACATGCCCAGGAGATGGTTAGTAGTATGGGTCTGGAAACACTATAAGGGGTTTAATATAATTGGAAATACAGATGAAAAGTCAGCAGCATACACCCAAGGGTGAAAACGCTTGTGGTAGATTATGAGAAATAGGTTTGGAGCCAGATCCTGAAGAAAAGCAGCATTTAGGGGATGTGGAGAAGTTGTCCTAAAAAGAGAGTGAGAAGAAATGGTTAGAAAGGTCAGTAGAGGACAAAAGAGAGGAATACTATCATCAGAACTAGGAGGGTTTTTTAAAGAATGTGGCAGTCGTAGTGGTTAATTGAGGAGGTTCAGCAGATAATTAAAGTACCTATGTTAGTTTCCTAGGGTTGCCATAGCTGCTTTTCACAAGTCAGATGCCTAAAAGCAACAGAAGTGTATTTCCTAACGGTTGTGGAGTCTACAAGTTAGAAATCAACATGTCATCAGGGCTGTGTTCCCTCTAAAGGATGCATGGAAGAATTCTTGTTTCTTTCAGTTTTTGGAGATTCCTGATAATCCTCAACTAGTGATGTCACTATAATGTCTGTCTCCCTTTTCATTGGCCTTCTCTCTGCATCCTGTTTAAAAGGACACCAGTCATTGGACTTAAAATGCCAATCCCCAGTGTGAAAGTTAAATCATCTTGAAATACAGGTTTTCCTCACCTGTTGAAATAGAAAATCCCTATTTGGCATGATATGGTAATTAGCTTTTGGTTCTGGGACTGCTGGAAAGAAAACAAAACATATAAACTAAGGGGAATAGTTCCCTGATGTAAAAAAGAACCTTTTGAATCAATCAAATAGAACATTTTGCTTTCAGATAGCAGGGGAGGCCCCTCATCAGGAAATAAAAAGGGTACGAGTTCTTAATGCATCTCTGTTCTCAAGTTCATAATTCTTTTAAAGAAGAGATTTTTCTTTTCAGAAACTAGAAACAATACAATTTATTATATAATATGATGCTAAATTGAATATGCCTTAGCTAATGAATGAACAGCTGCTCACAGTTGGAAGTTTAGCATGGAGAAAATACTGTTCTTTTCACTACATATGTAATAATGAGTACAGTTTCATACTCTTTGGTTTTGATTCTCCAGGTGGCAGGGCAGAAGGAACCCTCCGCTCAGCTAAAAGTGAAGAGTCTCTTACTTCTCTCCATGCAGTTGATGGTAAGATTAAAAGTAGCAATTGTTTAAGTCTATATTTCATAAAAGAACACAATAACTGAGTACATTTTATTAATCTAGTCTTAATAAGTGGGCTACAGATTGTCATTTCCCAAGAATACCAGCATCAGTTTAGTCTTGTCCATTAATGTTTAATATGATATTGCCTAGATTAATCTGTCTGTATTCCAACCACGCTTTTTAAGTGTCATCCTGGTTAACTTTCTCATCTTTATTAATTCTTCTGACTGCCAGATCCTTACTGACTAGGGAGTCTCTTTGTGAGTCAAGAAATCCTTGTGCTTGGGTAATTGACCTCTTAGGGCTTTCCATTTTGCTACAGAGAGAATATTTCACAAAGATGATGCAGTGGCCTGAGTAGAATATAGTTGTTAACCAGGTAGGGACTAATTTTATAAGCGGTCAACATACTAGCGAATAATATTTATGTTAAGACAGTTTCTTACTGCCTTTTAATAGTATATTTTCACTGTTGCACTTCTATCCATTGTAGTATAAAGATGAGATGAAAGACTCATCATACCCAGCTGGGTATGCAACATTATCATAAGTTGTGTGATCCTCTTGAGAACTTTGCCTGAGAAACTTTAGAACTTATTAAAGATAGCAATAAATCATTTTTGTTTAAGTGTCTGAAATGAATCTTAACATATGCATATACTTGATGAAATTGTAGAGTTTTTAAATGAAATTCAATTTTTTTGAAATTGGGATGTTATTAGCATTTTCCCTACCAAAAAAAATCCTTTGTCGTAGATCCAAAATACTGAAAGTCATAAATTCTGTCTCATAAGTCATGCGATAAAATAGCACACAAAGAAATGAAAACTTGCCCAAAGTCACAAGAGTCAGTGCTGGTAATAGAATCCATGAGCTATCAGTCCTTTTCCCTGTTGAAACTGTCCCATTCTGCTTTCGATTTCTAATTATATCACATATGTTTTTTATTTCACTTTTAGTTTGATAGTTTTATTGGTGCAACTCAAGAGACAGCTACCAGAAATAAAATGAGAAGTAACATTTTCTTACTCTGTATAGTTCATTTCTGCTATATCAAGTAGGTGGCCCATCATGGCATTATGTGTCCTATGACATTCACACTTTGATACTGTTATCCATTTTTACCAGGTGATTCCAAGCTGTTCCGACCCAGAAGACCCAGATCTAGCAGTGATGCTTTGAGTGCCTCTTTTAATGGAGAAATGTTGGGGAACCGCTGTAATTCCTATGATAATCTGCCCCATGACAATGAAAGTGAGGAGGAAGTAGGGCTGCTACATATTCCAGCTCTGATGTCTCCTCATGCAGCTGAGGATGTGGATTTGAGCCCACCAGATATTGGAGTAGCCAGCCTGGATTTTGATCCCATGTCATTTCAGTGTAGTCCTCCTAAGGCCGAATCAGAATGTCTGGAGAGTGGTGCTTCCTTTTTAGATTCCTTAGGCTACTCCAAGGATAAAACAAGTACTAGTATAAAGGATACAGAAGCAAGTGGTACCCAGTCTCAGACTCCAGGAAGCACTGCAAGTTCTGAACCCGTCTCTCCTCTTCAGGAGAAGTTGAGTCCGTTCTTTACCCTGGACTTGAGCCCAAATGAAGAGAAATCATCTAAGCCAGCCTCGTTCACTGAAAAGGTTGTCTATGCTTTCTCTCCAAAGATTGGACGTAAATTAAGCAAATCACCTTCTATGAACATCTCCGAGCCAATTTCAGTGACCCTTCCCACAAGGGTATCAGAAGTCATTGGAACAATTTCAAACACAGCAGCTCAGAACCCACCTTCTCCAACCTGGAACAAAAGTGTGGAAGAAAGTGATGTCACAAATAGATCTCCTACCCAAGTAGTGAAGACAATAAATGAGAGCGAGACCCAAGCAGAATGTGAGTCTGAAGTCCAGCCCCTGGGCCAGGCGGCTGCTGTAGAAGTAGAGTCGCCAGGGAAGGAGGAGCAGGCCGTCTCCAGCAGTCAGAGTAAGGCTATACCTTCTGGACAGACTCAGACAGGTATCATTTGTTTTCCTCCATTCTTTGTTTAAGATAAGAGGGCTCTTCAATCCTGTGTGCCATCTGTGCCTTTTAAGAGAGAAATTTGCTCCAAAGCTAGCTTTTAATCAAAGAGAAAGTTTCTTTGGTTGGTGCTGATGGCTCAAAGCCCTAATTAAAAGCAATCAAACAAAAGTCCCCCAAAGGGCCAGTAGTCCTGCTTCAGACCTTCATAAAGTCCCCTTATCTTTTTGGACAGTCAGAATTCGTGGATAAGTTTTGCACAACTTCGTAGCTCTTGATTCTCTTTTCTAATAAAATAATCTGTATTATAGCCTTACAAGTTAACCAGCCAACCTGCACCATCAAGTGTAAAAACTATGCCTAATAACAGTCTGCAAGCATTTGAAGCTTGTTTTCTAAGCAGTCTTTTCTGAGCCAGATGAGGGATCTGCTTTTTTTCCCCCCATCTCTGTGGCAATTCAAGAGGAGATTGCAGTCTTTAAGCACTCTTTGTTTTACTTTTCCTTCTGAACCAGATGTGTTTTCTACAGCATTTGCATGTGGGATAGAAGATCGTGGATTGTCATTTTGAAATGTGGAAGGCACCTATTTTTTAGTGATCAAAATGGGGAGTGTTTGGCATTCCGTATAGGATAACACAAGCTACCTTTTCACTCTCATTTTTTTTCCCAATTTCCCACCAGGAGCAGTTACCCATGACCCCCCTCAGGATTCCGTTCCTGTCAGTTCAGTCTCTCTTATCCCACCACCACCGCCTCCGAAAAATGTTGCCCGCCTACTGGCTCTAGCATTAGCTGAGTCTGCGCAGCAAGCCTCAACTCAGTCACTGAAGAGACCAGGGACTTCCCAGGCTGCTTATACAAACTATGGGGACATAGCAGTGACTACAGTTGAAGACAAACTGCCTTGTTCCTACGCTAGTGTTACTCTAGATAGAGCTTGTTTCCAAACTGATAGGCCGGCCGTGACACTGCACCCCCAGAACACTGCATCTGGGAGCTGTGACCAGCCTGTGCCAGATGCAGCGGCTGTGGATGATCACACCAATCCCAAAGCAATCGAATCTGGGGAGCAACTCCACCACGCAGACCTACCGGGGACTCAGCCACATCGACCCTGCTTATCCAGAGACCCAGAAAGAGCCAGAATCACTTCAGTTCCCTTAATAGATGCTAAGTCCGATGATCACATAAGTTTCCCTGAAGACCAGCCAGGGAGGACCAGTATGCCAGTAGTCTCCTTTGCAGATCAGGACCAGTGTCACCTTCATTTCTGCAGTGGAGAGCAGCTGCCTTCGTACCTTGGTGCGAATGTGGAAAAGTCCCAGCACCCTTCAGAACTTGTAGACAAATCTCTCCCACCTTCGAATTTGCCCCGAGACAAAATCTACCCTCCTTCTGTGTCCCCTGAAGAGAATACCAGCACAGCCACCACGGTTTACATGACAGCTGCCCCAGGAGCAGCTGAAATAAGCGTCAGGGAAGCCAACTGGGACATGGTGGAACATTCCACCTCAGTGGACTTTGCTGCTGCCACCCTTCAGCGCACTCATAGAACTAATCGGCCCCTTCCCCAGCCTCCTTCCCAGAGATCAGCAGAGCAGCTACAGGTCATGGGGCAGGTACAAGCAGCAAGCAATATAGACTTAACTAATTCCCACAAGGTAAGTAGGAGAGAAGTCTGTGAGATGAAATGTACTTTTTCCAAAGGTATGTCACTTTTCAGCAGGGTGCGTTATTATCGTTGCATCAGATAAAACATTTATTTTTAAGTCCTGTGGCAGGTTTACAGGAAACATTTCACACTTGAGTTTGGAATCTGCCATTGCCTTGATGCTATTTATTTTTTTCCCTGAGAAAGGAGCAATTACTTGAGAACTATAGTTCGGCAATGCCTACTCCTTTTTCTTCTAAAACGTACTTGCGGTTTCTTCAGTCATCCAAAGAGATCGTGATGAAATGAGTCAGGCCGAGCTTTACGTATCAGGGTTTTGTAGTTCTTTTTTCGAATTCCTCACTGACTCATTGTGACCTTGGGCAAGTCATTATGGCACCCTCTGTGCTTACATCCTGCATGACGAAGGTGCTTGCTTCTCTGAACGCTTGTAGACATTCTGCCTTGCAGGCTTTTTTTTTTTTTTTTTAAATTAAGTGTAGGAGATTATAACGCATTGGGACTTCTTACTATTTTTTTCCACATTAGCCAAAAGAGGGAGCGCCAGTGAGAAGATGGGTGCCCAAAGTTAGGGTTTCTTCCTGATTTTCTTATATCTTAAAAATAATACCCTTTTGGGAGGTCACTAGGAACTAAAAGGACTTCAATACCTAGTACTTACTAGAGGCTTCTGTTTTGAGCAGTTGCTCCTCAGGAATAATGATTTGAAGCATTCTGTAGGGAACAGAGTTTGAACTTTGGTGCCTCACATTAGCGTGGAATAGAAGGTGGGGGCAGATAGTGACTGATACACTTTAATGCATCCTAAACGAGTCATTTTAGTCCTTCCTTTAGCTTTTGAGGCTCAGCTATGAGTCTCTTCAAATTTCACTTCTATTTATTATTTTTAATAAAATGGTGACACTAAATTAGATAACCTGGGTATATGCATGCAAACTCGACTGGTATTTGACTAAAGATAACATCTGCTAGACTTGACTGGAAAGATAATGGCACAGACAGGGTCACCTCACGTGTAACACCTGTCCGAAACGAGAACAGTTCTCCAGCGGTGGTAATGGTTGCCTTTCTGGCAGCGGGACAGGTTGACCTTCAGTCCATTGCCACACCTGGTTTGGGAAAGTTCAGGTTGCCTTAGCGTATAAGTGACAGATTTAAACAGTATTTGATTCCAGAGAGGGGAGCACAAAAACAAATATATTTCATCTTTCAGCAGGTTCAGGCAGGAGCCCCAGCTCCAGAGAGGCCACCTGAACCAAGAGCCACGCACGACCCTGCGGCTGTCCTTGTCAGTGATGGCAGTTCGGCCACTCCGTGTCCAATCTCTGCTCCTGCTGCCCAGCCAGGCCTTCCTGAGAAGGTTCGGGAAGGTGCCAGGGGCCCCCCGCTGCACCTGCGTGTGGAGTCAGTCCCTGTGTACTCTTCCTGTGGCTTCACCGCGCCAGTGCCCCCTACCAGGACAATGGAGAGTAAAATTGCTGCTGCCATACACTCCAACAGTGCAGACGCCGCCGGCAGTTCCCTTTTCCATCCCTTTGTCACTGCTTCCTCAGCCTCGGTGGATGATGTCTTGCCTTTACCTCTTCCTATCCCACAGCCGAAGCATGCGTCTCAAAAAACAACCTATTCTACCTTTGTTAGGCCTGATTTCACCACTGAGCCCTTTGGTCCAGAAAACTGTTTGCATTTCAGTATGACTCCAAACTGCCAGTACCGTCCCCAGAGCGTACCTCCACATCACAATAAGTTGGAGCAACACCAGGTGTATGGTTCCAGGTCTGAGCCACCAGCCTCCATGGGTCCTCGCTATAACACATACGTGGCCCCGGGAAGAAATGTATCTGGGCACCTCTCCAAGCCATGCAGCCGGGTGGAGTATGTGTCCTCGCTGAGCTCCTCTGTTAGGAGCGCTTGTTACCCTGAAGATATCCCACCGTACCCCACCATCCGGAGGGTGCAGTCTCTCCACGCTCCTCCATCTTCCATGATTCGCTCAGTTCCCATTTCACGGACAGAAGTGCCCCCAGATGATGAACCAGCCTATTGCCCGAGGCCCCTGTACCAGTATAAGCCATATCAGTCCTCCCAGGCCCGCTCAGATTATCACGTAACCCAGCTTCAGCCTTACTTCGAGAATGGTCGGGTCCACTACCGGTATAGCCCATACTCCAGTTCTTCTGGCTCCTATTACAGTCCGGATGGAGCCCTGTGTGACGTGGATGCCTACAGCACAGTACAACTAAGGCCCCTTCATCGCCTGCCCAATCGTGATTTTGCTTTCTACAATCCAAGGCTGCAAGGGAAGAACTTGTACAGTTACACTGGCTTACCTCCACGTCCTCGGGCCAACATGACTGGGTATTTCTCTGGTAATGACCATAATGTACTCAACATGCCTCCAACTGCTGACGTCAAGCACACTTACGCCTCATGGGATCTGGAGGACATGGAAAAGTACCGCATGCAGTCCATCCGGAGAGAGAGCCGTGCTCGGCAGAAGGTGAAAGGGCCAGTGATGTCTCAGTATGATAACATGACCCCAGCTGTGCAGGAAGACTTGGGTGGGATCTATGTCATCCACCTACGTAGTAAATCAGATCCTGGGAAAACTGGACTCCTGTCAGTGGCAGAGGGCAAGGAGGGGCGGCACCCAGGCAAAGCCATCAGCCCCGAGGGAGATGACCGCTTCTATAGGAAGCATCCAGAGCCAGAGTTTGATAGAGCCCACCACCACGGGGGATATGGCAATGGACAGCCAGAAAAACCGTCCCTCCCTCAGAAGCAAAGCAGCCTCAGGAACAGGAAGCTTCTTGACATGGGTTGTAGTCTCCCTGAACACAGGGCACATCAGGAAGCAAGCCATAGGCAGCTGTGTGAGTCAAAAAATGGGCCACCTTACCCCCAGGGAGCTGGCCCATTTGATTATGGGCCCAAAGGGATTCCGGACACTTCTGAACCAGTCAGCTACCATAACTCTGGAGGGAAATATGTCACATCAGGGCAGGAGTCTTTAAGACTGAACCACAAAGAGGCACGGCTCTCCAAAGAGCTGGAAAGGCCTCGGGCTAGGCAGCCTCCTGCCCCAGAGAAGCACTCCAGAGACTGCTACAAGGAAGAGGAACACCTTACTCAGTCAATAGTCCCACCCCCTAAACCAGAGAGGAGTCACAGCCTGAAACTCCATCACCCCCAGAACGTAGAGAGAGACCCCAGTGTGCTGTACCAGTACCAAACACATGGCAAGCGTCAGAGCGGTGTGACTGTCGTGTCCCAGTACGACAACCTGGAGGGGTACCACTCCCCGCCGCAGCACCAGCACCAGCGGGGAGGCTTTGGAGCAGCGCCAGTGGGGACATATGTGCCCTCTGGCTTTCCCCACCCACAGAACAGGACATATGCCACAGCTTTGGGCCAGGGGGCCTTCCTGCCCACAGAGTTGGCCTTGCAGCACCCTGACACACAGATCCATGCAGAATGAGCCCTGGGAGCAATAGAGTTGAAGCAGCCTCTGCTGGACAGTGGACTGTTCTATTTTTTTCAATAACCAAAAAGATTAAAAAAAAAAAAAACTACAAAACCCCTGACCACATTTAAAAAATGAAGAAAAATAAATCACCACTCTTTTCCTCCCTCCCCTGCTTCATTAACACCTCCTTCATCTATAGACTGTGTCATTTTTGTCATTAAAAGAGATCTGAATGATGGTAAAGCACTGTGTTGAAAACCTAGTGAAGAAATTTGTCACAGGCCATACTTGCCACATAGGGTCAGTTTGTAAGAGCTTGAGGACGCCTTTAACTGAATTTGAATTTAACTCTGTCCCTGGTGTGTGCAGTCCAGTTCAGAGCAGTTTGCAGCTGTTCCTGGCAGGCTTCTGCACTTTTCTTGTGTTCCCGTTTCCTTCCGTGGCCAAGCAGCCTGCCCAGATTGACACTCAGTTTTCTCACTTCATTCCCCGTCTTTGAAGGGTCTCGTGTGTGAACTCTGAACCAAACAGCTTCTCCTTGATCCTTCAGATAAATCTTTAGCAATGTTATAAAATCATTAAGCCCTTACACTTTTAATAAAAAGTCATCATAAAATGTCAGACCATGTAGATCCAGACTGAACCATACCCTTTATGTTATGTTCCTGCTTACTCCTCAGTGAACAAGGCTCACGTCTCTGCAGAAAGGAGTTGTTAAGGTTAGAATTAAGGACATTTCTTAGGTGGAAGTCGGTGAAATGGTTATTAGTGCTCCTAATGTGTCACCTGCCTTCAGTTAATTTTTTTCTCAATATTATGTGGTAGTTTGTAATCCCAGCAAACATTTCATAGCATATGTTCTTCAGAAGCAACTTTTTTCCCACTAGAAAAAAAAAAAGCTTAAATAGCAACAAAACCCGGCATGATTTGACTAGATAATTATACAGTTTATCATGGTTACAAATTTACATGTTCGTTTCTTTTTGTGAACCAGTAGAGGTTTCCTGGAAATTCTCATGGTAGCTATAAATTGTGTATTAGTAAAGTAAAATTCCTACAGGAACACTAAACAAATACAACCATTTCACAGGTTGGAATTCTGGCACTCACCAGAGTGCCAGAGGAGTCCCCGTGCTGGTTGTTCACACTGTGCTCTCTGATCACAGTCACACTGTCGTTGTCGTCTCTGCCAGCACTTGTATAGCTTTTATAACTGTAGACATGTTAAACATGTTTGATCCCCAAGACTTTCTTTTGAAAGTTGTATTCCTGATAAGTCCATTCCATTTTTCCAGCCCCCCTCTTCCTGCTGAGGCAGTCCTGTATTTACAAAATGAGTTTTGGTTGTCATTTCGTTCCATAACTCTGAATTGTACTTGAGCTTCAGACATTCACAGGTTTTCAATACTCAGTTTGTAGAAGACATTAGGGGAAATTTCATTCCGTATATTGAATGACTGCTGCTCTGGCTTTTTAGAACTTGGAATTTTATTTAGAGCAAAGGGGGAAATCTATGAGACTAAGCTCATGCTGCTATTATTGCTGTGAAATTGTGTAAGCATTAGGGCTTATGCCAGTTTTTAAAAAAATTAAAGCGTGCATTTTTAAGGTTTATATTTAGAAAAAATTACATCTTGCCACGTTTATGTGTATGCAGAAGTCTATAGGTTTTCTTTTGTAACCCCAGAATTAGCAGAGGGATTCAATAAAAATCATTGCAGACATCTTGAAATACAGATATGGGAAAGGTCTGGGCATTTATAGACCTTTCCACTGAGCTGCAACTGGCATCATCCCGTCACAACAGGAACCCTGATAGGCTGCGGCTCACGGCACGCTAGGTGCTGTGATGGGGGTTTGATCTGTGGTGACTGCGGCATGAATTTTCTTTTTTTTAACAATGACCATCTCTGTTCAGTAGGCAGCCCATTGCCCCTTTGAGATCACACAACCCTCGCAGTTTCTCACCAGCAGCAGAGAGATTAGGAGTAGTTGCTGGTGTGACATGGAGCTGCTGCTGGCTTAACTGAGCCCAGAAGCTTGTGGGTGAGAAAGTCCTGTCCAATTTTAGTGTTTGTGGATTTGTCATCATTTTGATTAGTCCTGGAATCAAAATCTATTTTATGAATACTAAGCTAAGTTCCTCCGCCTAAGTTAGTATCCTGTGGGCTTGGAATTATCAGGTAAATATTTTGAACACAGAATAATTCAAATGACAGGTGTTCGTGTGAAACACAAACTTTAGGTAAAAGCTAGAGTTGTTTCGTTTAACCTACATAGATACGGCCTTAACTTGGATTCAGTTATTTGAAGGACTTTGCCTGTATCTTCTCCTTTCTAATTCTCGTAGGGTAGAAATTGGATGGTAAATCACTGTGAGCCAGGTTACCTCAGCATCGTCCACCTTGTGGTGACTTCACAAGAGCAAGCAAATGTTCTCTCTTGGAAATGTTGACGTGGAGCATTCTGATCAAGGAAACGGAGCCGCCTTACGCATTAAGCCTACCACTTAATTTTACTGGTATTTTCATATCATTTTCCAGATTTTATCTTTTTGATAAAACATTGATGCCACCGTTAGGCTTGATTGAAATAAAAATCCCTTGGAGTCTGGCCAGAGACTTTGCTAACAGCCCCAGAGGTGCCATTTTCTTATTAATAAACTTCATCTGAGCCTTATTGCTTACTGTACTAGGTTTCCTTTTAAACATGCAGGTCCCTGGGGTGGTCCCAAGGATAGGGCCTGAACATAGATAATGACAAAGCATTTTTGCAAAGTTAGGGTCAGGTTGAAAAATTGTAGGACTAACTGTAGAGAAGAGGGACCATTCATGTGAGAAGGCATGGAAAGGTAGGTTACCACACTTGAAGCAGCAATACATGCATACTATGTAAACTTGAAACTTTTCAGAGAAGCCTGCAAAACCCATATTTCTGTTCCCAGCTCTGCCAATCAAACATTTTCAGTCTGCTTCAAAGTTTCGTCTGAACAGAATGTGTAAGGAAATAAGAATGGAAGCAAAAGTGTGTCAGAAAGTTACTTCCAAATGGTTAGAGGCATGTGATTTTCAGTACTGTGTGTTACGGAAATGTCAGGAATGGTATATTTTAACTGCAAGATAATGTCAGTGTGCACAGAGGGTCTTCTTTTCCTTTTCTGATTAGTACTGTTAGTGTTCAAAGACTAAAAGATGGTGGTTTTACAGTTTAGAATCCAAGGTAACAAACCTGATTTTTCAACCATGACCTGCATGAGAGAAGCATCCTAGAAAGTCTTAGATCATATTTTTGAGTTCTTAACTTTAATTTATATAGTGTTTTTTATGTTTTAATATTTTCGTGAACTGGTGTAAATTGTTAATGCATATAAGCTTGTGTATTTTTGTAAATAGTTTTGTGATTTATTTCTTGACCCGTATGTAAATACTTAGAGTCTCATTTCTTCAAAACTTATTTGAAGTTGAGTTGTGGGTTTGGGGTTTTGTTTCTTTGTTTTGATTGGGGGTGGGGGAAGAGAGGGGTTTTTGTACTCTGCTAATCCAGATAACGCTATCTTGTGGTTTAAAGCAAATGTCCCACTGGAAGCAATTCAGATATCAACAAAATTATTTCAGGTTAAAACAGACTTCTTTGTGTATGTGTTTCCTTTTTAACCTAACGTGAACTATAACAAAACAAATGGGATACTTGATTGGGGATATCCAGACCAAAAGGTGAATAGTTAATTCAACATGCTGCATCAAATGAGAGGTTTTGTGAACGAAGGGGTTTAATGTTTATAGTAACTGTACAGTAAAGTACTGCCTGGCCCAGTTTTCAAACATTACTTAGTCTTCAGAACTGCCATGGGCTATTGATCTGGACAAAGTCTAAGTTGGCTGTAGGGAATCTCTGCTCTGCACTATCTCCTAGCTTGCAATTCACAGGAAACTGAATTTTAATTGGCTTTGTATCTCAGGATTCCCCAGAAGGGGGTTCAAGTAACAGGTATATTTTTAATGATCCCCAAAGCATCTTGAGCATCCTGTTGCTCTCCAATGTAGAATGACCCACAGGGAGTCTCTCCTATATCTGGTCACCTGCAGCAGGTGGGTTTGTGGCAGTCAAGGTGAAGCCCCACTGAGATGCCTCAGGTCTGAACTACGTGCTGTAAGTAACCCAGCAGGGTCCAGACTGCTCTGGGCGAAGAGTCCTTCCCCAAACAAGTTATTTCAGTATCAGTCATAGTGTTTAGAAGAACACACCTTGGTATTCAGCTATTGAAATACTGGTTTTCTACTGGGAATCATAACTTACAATTCATTTAAAATAAGAGGTCTTGTCCCATTTTGCCCCTAAAGGGAAAGTAGTCTCAGCAGTCCCGATGGCCCTGCCAAGACCCCTGCATGTAGCTGCTGCCTATAAACAGCCCATCTGGGTTCTTGTGGAAACCGGTTAGATGGGATTAAAGGAATGTCATGATCACGTTTCCATTGGCTCTTCTGAGATTTCCTGGACTCTTGATTTCCATACCAACTATTTCAGCTCCTAAGTTTACATCATACTGATGGAAATACAATACTACTACTAAAAATGTGTATACTACTACTATCAATGTGTATTGATAGTTGAAACTGGGGATACACATTGGTATTTGGGAATTTGGTCACTTTGGTTCTGTGGGAAGAGGCACACATTTTAAAAGTATTACTGATTTCCACTGCAGTGAAAACTTGGACACATTCTCAATGCACCTCTTGAGAGAAAATTGTGGTTAAATTTTTGTTTCATTTATTTTAATTAAAATACCAGACTATCTTCCACACCATGAACTCTGCTGCAGGAACCCCTAAAGGTCCATCTCTTACAGAAATCCACCCGTGGATTTCTGTATCATAGTCCAGTGAAACCCTTGGGGACACAGTGAAAGCAAAGGAGCACTTCCTTCTACACCAAATGCTCTACAACCTCTGCTCTTTCATGTTCTTGCATTTGTTGTTTTAATTTTCTAAATCTCTCTTGCTTTCTGCGATCATGTCCAATAATTATCCACAAACTACTTGTAGACCTTCTGCCTCCAAACATTCCATTCAAAGTAAATAAGCTTGTCAAAACGGTGAGCAGAAGAACATCTGAACTGGGGCCCAGAAAGACTTGGGCTTGTGTCAGCTGTTTATAACTCAGAGCCCCTTGTTCTCTCTCAGTTCTTGGGCAGCCCAGTTTCAGACAGTGAAATACTGCATACAGTCCTTAGAAGAGAGTGAAACAAGATGGCAGAGTTCTCCCTGCATTTGACATTTTGTGACAAAGATGTATAATTAGACAGAATGGCATTTGCCCAGTTTAGAACTGCAGACAGCTCCTCTCCGTGGACACCCGTCCACAGGAGACAGCGCCCACAAGCAGGCTGTGAGCAGAATCCCGTGCGCACACCCCTTCAGCTGCCACTGCGCCATTGAATCTCATGTTCTGTTTTTCATTTCCTGAAACGTTTTGCAAAGCACCCTGAGACCTCTCAATCATTTGTTCACATTTCAAAGTGGGCAGGTAGTTCTGATTTTGGAATCCTTAGAAATATCTGGAAAGTGAAATCAGTTTCCTTGTGCCACCATCATCTGGTGACTCAGTAGGTCTGGGCGGGGGGCCTCAGGAATCTACAATTTTAGCACCATGTGACTCTGGTACAGATGCTTGAAAATATGGCCTGGGGAAATGCTTAATAGGTGTCTCAGCAAACACATCTAGTTATTTTAGCTCATTTGCATCTTGGTTTTCTCTCCCATCACCAAAACTAGAACAGAAATGTCTCATTTATTTCTCTGACTCCGGCATTTAAGTAGTAAGGCCAGATTTAATATATTACAGTGACACATGGAAATAGATATTTCTCAAGGGTTGAGCAAGAACACTAGTACTCGCTGAAAACTACCCAAATTCTGTACTGTGACGTGGTGCAAAACTATTCAGCGGTTATAGAAAAGAATGAGATAGTGTGCATATGTCACCGTGTCACTAAAGACTTTAATCCATTGGGTTAATCTCTGAAAAAGTGTTCACATAGTTGACATGTACCTTGCAGGAAGTCTTGGTAAACAGAAATCTGCGACAATTTGGTGGTTACAATAAAACCTGGAATGTCACATGTCGGTGGTGAAAGTCCTCACTTCCTAGATAAGGGAAACCTGTGTGTGTGTAGCCCTGACTGCGACTGCAAGAAACATCGATAGTCCATGTAGGACAATGCCCTGTTTCATTTCACCACATCCGATGACTATAGATCAGCAACATGATCTGGACTTATTAGTCTTTCCTGCTAGGTCATTTTCTAAGCTGGTTTCACTGCATCGCTTTGCCCTTGTGCTTATTTATATGTTGGTAGCAGGGGTGTAAGCAGGACTCTGCAGGCTGCAGAAGAAGAGGAGGAGACGGCTGGGGCTTTAGAGAGCTGCTAAAAGAGGCAGCTTGACTCTTCACTTCTGAATGTCGAGACTTGGTAAGTGTCGTTCTGTTATTCTTAAACACAAGTGCAGTTTTCCTGATTCAAGATCTGTGAAAGCAAAATGCTTATCCAGAGAAGAGAGTGTAGTGATGGCCCTAGTGGAACTAATACAATAGGTTTCTCTATTCTCTACTAATTACCATGCATCGAGCAATTCTGAAGAGTTCTGTGTATATTAATACTAAATTTTCCTAACAGTTACATGAAATAGCATTATTTTATGCCATTTTACAGATAAACTCAGGCCCAGAGGACTAACGAGCCTGAATTTCAACCTCTGAATTGAGTGGGATTCAGGCCAACTTCTGGGCCCTCAGTCTGCATCTCTATTGTGCTGCTTTCCCAGTCGGGCTGTGAAACCTTAAGCCCCTAACTCAAGTGGGGGAAGATACCAAGCTGATTTTCTAGGGAATAACCCTTCATAGCAGGATTGGCAGTATCAGGATATTGCTTAAGCAAAGTCTGCCGCAGATTCAGCTGACTGTCCTGGGTAAATCAGTTGTCTGCTGCTACTTGGCCACCCAGGCCTCCAGCAACTCCCTGATAACCTTTAGCTGCATCATCTGAAGCACATGTTCATTCCCAGGAGGGATGGTCAAGGGGAGAGAGACTAAGGGTACTATTCAGGTTCAAGTGGGGCCCAGAAGCGATCAAGTTGTTCTCACAGCTCAACCAGAACTGCCTTCCAGACCCCAACCCCATAAAGGGAGGGTGGCAATTTCAGAGGTCCACTGTGTGCCAGGAAGGAGGTGCCAAGAGAGCAACTCTAAAGTGAGCAACAACACTAGCCTTTGGCCCACTTAACACGAATCACTTCAGTCCTCTTGGTACCAAGAAACAGCGCTCTCAGACCCTGAGACACGCTACACACGCCCATTAAACAGGAGATCGTAAGGGGCCGTGTAAAGAACTTTGGGGTTCTTGCAATGGCGGCAAGAACTTGGCCCTGTACCCACATATTTACATTTCTGACCATAGGTTGGAGGGAGGCTTCTGGAAGTAAAAGAGGGTGTGTCTTGCTCCAGTTCCTGAGAAGTAAGAGAGGCGTGTGATGCGCCAGACATGATATGTTCTGTGGTGCTGTTTGAGAGTCAAAATTCCCACCTCTGGCTGCCACCCTGGCGGCTCTGGCCTTGTTCACCCCTGAAAAGACCCAGACTCACTTGCACATCAGCCCTTGCACCAGCTGCCCGAAACCCTCCAGCAATTCTCAGGCACCAGACATTGCTTGTCCTTCACTTTAAGTCTCTGCCTCCTTGGGAAACTAGACTTTCCTAGATGATTCTGTGTAAAACAGCATCTCTTACATGCTCAATCCATCCTCTCTGCTTTCCTAACATATACATGTAATAGACATATATCTAGAGTCTGAGCTCCAACAGGACAATAACTTTTTTCTTTTCTTAAGATTTATTTATGCATACAACAGCTGGGTTACAGGCCAAAGGTGCTGGGAGTAAGAGGATTCACCAGAGACAGAGAGAGGAGCAGAACAAGCAGATGAAGTACACTGCTGAGGGGAGCAGTGGGTGAGACAGGAGAGGTCTGCCGTGCCAAGTGGGTCAGCTCCCTGGCTGGGGATCCAACTTGTGGTGCAGTGGCTGCTGATAGCCCCATAGTGCTGAGACTTAACCCCTTGTGCCACTAGGGAGGCCCCGACAAGAACCTTTCCGCTCCTAGATACCAGTGCCTTTGACGCCTAGAGCCTCACTTGACATTATTTGTTGAACATATGACCTGACATGTCTTTTCCGTGCTGACTCAAGCAGGCATGAGTGGGGAAACTCTTGTCTGGGAGCTGTCCTACCCCATTTACCTTTCTTCAGCAGTCAGAATGAGTCAGACATCACTTGCTTGGCTTATGTTGCAAGCACAGCAAACAGCCTGCTGTTTGTTGGTGGCCACAAAAGGAAGCCAGGAGTCTGAGATTAGCTCAAGTTCAACTGCCACAGCGACAAGACGCTGCTAGAATTAGTTCAGAAAAATCTTCTGAAAGGAGGTCAGCTTTAGAAGTGTTTGGAAAGTCGTGAAGGGAAGTTACAGGGGGCTGAAGTGGTGATTTTCTAAGTGTCCAGAGAAGGCTCCCCACACGTGAATGTCCCTCTTCAGAGCATTGTAGGTGTGGCTAAGAACAGGCTGAGGACTCTTCCAGGATATGGCAACTTTAGAAATGACAGAAAAGTTAAGGCTTGGGCAGTTTTCAACGAACATATAAACAGATGGTCTCCAACACGTCATGCCTCTATGTTCCACGGCAGGATGGGGTGAAAGCACACAGGGCCTCACAGTGTGCTCTTGGTGCTGGGAGGGTGTGAGTCCCAGCTTCCAGCTGCATTGCCCCGGATGTCTGGATGGGGACTTGTAATAATGCACGTCCCAAGCTGTGCACAAGGGTGCAGGGTGGAGGGAAACAGATGAGTTAGCCTCTGAATCCTCTGCTTCCCTAAGTCACCAGAAGGGTGACGGAAACCCCTCACTTTACCCAGAGGATAAAGTCACTGGGACTCTGAGTCC